ACGCCCAAGATGACCTTCAAGATGCCCACGTGTTCCCCGAATGCTTTCCAAACCGATTCGGGGAACATCAGGTCCGATAGCTTGGCATGTCTGGCCTCAACGTTCGGCCACATAGGTGCTTCCAAAAAGGCAGGGGCCGGCGGTGATTCGCCGTAGGCGTCTCGGATCCGCCGCCCCCTGTCGATTCATCGCAGGGGGGCCTGGCGTGCCGAATCCCATCGGGATCATTACCCCGTCGATTTTTCGCTCCAGATGGCTGCAAAATGGCAAGACGGCCAAGATGGCCCAAGATGGCCCTCAAAATGCCTGCGGGATGGCCTCCAAGTCGGCTCAGACGGTCCCAAGATGCCTCCAAGACGGCCCAAGATGCCCTCAAGAGGGCCTCAGACGGCCCAACAGGCCCGCAAGATGCTTCCAAGACTGCCCAAGAGGCCTCCAAGAAGGCCTCTAGGAAGGCTAGAAAAGCCAAAAACATTGGTTGCCCTTCGATTTTTGACGGATTTCGACATTTGCTTCGTTTCCACCTTCCGACGGCCCGATACCAAGATGGCCCCAGAACTGCCCAAGAGGCTCCCAAGACAGCCCCAAGAGGCCCCCAAGACGGCCCAGGAGGCTTTTAAGACGCCCAAGATGGCCTCCAAGACGGCCCTGGAACATTCCAGGAGCCCACCAAGACGGCCGAACATGGCCCCAAGATGGCCCAAGACGGCCCAAGAGGCCTCCAAGAGGGCCTCCAGGAAGGCCCAAAAAGGCCCATCGTCGATTTCCCATAGGTTTTTGAAGGATTGTGGCATTTGCTGTTGTTCTGCCTTCCGACGGCCCGAGACGGCCCAAGAGCCCCAAAAGATCGCCGAAAGATCGCCCAAGAGGCCTCCAAGATGGCCCCAGAACGGCCCAAGAGGGCCCCAAGAGGCCCCCAAGGCAGCACAGGAGGCTTTTAAGACGCCCAAGATGGCCTCCAAGATTGCCCTGGAGCATTCCGCGAGGGCTCCAAGTCGGCCCATAGAGGCCCCTCAAACGGCTTCTCACTGCGTCAGACGGACCAGGAGCCCACCAAGACGGCCGAACATGGCCTTAAGATGGCCCAAGACGGCCCAAGAGGCCTCCAAGAGGGCCTCCAGGAAGGCCCGAAAAGGCGAAAATCGTCGATTTCCTATGAGTTTTTAAAGGATTGTGGCATTTGCTCTTTCTTCTGCCTTCTGACGGCCCGAGACGGCTTAAGTGCCCCCAAAGATCGCCCAAAAGTCCCAAGACGGCCCCAAGAGGCCCCCAAGACGGCCCAAGAGGCTTCCAAGACGCTCAGGATGGCCTCCAAGACGGCCCAAAAGGCCCTCCAAGACGTCCCCCGAGAAGGCCCGAAAGGGTCAAAATGGCCTCCAGACCAAGATGACCTTCAAGATGCCCACGTGTTCCCCGAAGGCGTTCCAAACCAACTCCGGGAACACATGGTGCGATAGCTTGGCAGGTCTGGTTTCAACGTTCGGCCACATAGGCGCTTCCAAAAAGGCAGGGGGCGGCGGTGATTCGCCGTAGGCGTCTTCGATAACACCAACATCGCAAAATGCGCTGTTGATTCCGATCCGCCCCCGCATGATGTTCCCAGATGTGCCAAGGCAGCGCCGAGACGCACCGACGCGACTTTGATATATCCTATTGCGGTAGAGAGGGGGCCGGCGGCAGAGCCCTTCGCAAGAAAACCTGCGTAAGGCGCCCTCAGTAAGGAGTCAGTAGTACGAAATCCGTAATACTGAATTCAGTGTGGGGAATACTTCGTGAGAAGTCATTAGAACCCCTAATCCATATGTGCTTGGTAAGGGGTCCTCCAGGAGGAACCGTGAGTAAGGAATCTTGAATGCGGAACCCTTAGCGAGAAATCTTTGGTCAGGAGTACTGAGTCGGGAATCCTTTGCAAGGAGTTCTATTTACGGAATCCTTCGTAAACAATCCCTTGTAAGAAACCTGATGAACCCGTGGTAAGGAATCCGGAGCTAGGGTTCCTTAGTGAGGGCTTCTGCTGGGGAAATCCGCAATAAGGAGTCCTCAGGGAGGAGCCCTTCGTGCAAATCTTTAGTGAGGAACCATTACGGAGGAATGCTTCGTAAGGATTTGTTTTGTGAGGCGCCCTTGGTAGATAGACCTTGCTAATGGGATCGTAGTAGAGATTCATTGGTCCAGAACCCTTCGTAAGTAATCCTTGTAACAAACCCTTAGGAACCCGTGGCAAGGAATCCTGACAAAGGGTTCCTTAGTAAAGGGCCCTCCGTAAGTAATCTGTATTCAGGAGTCCTTAGTGAGGACTCCTTACATACAAATCCTAAGTGACGAACCCTGGCGGAAGAATTCTCAGTAAGGGCTCCTTAGTGAGGAGTCCGTGGCCAAGAGAGCTAACTAATGATTCGTTAGCAAGAACTCCTTCGTAACAAAAAGATATCTTTGGTGGGGAACCACTTGTAAAGAAACTCTTGTTGTGTAAGGAGCCCTTTAATACGGAATCCTCCGTAGGGAATCCTTCATGCGGGTTTATCTGGAATTCTTAACACATAATCCGTGCTAAGGAGCGCATGAGTTTTTAGCGAGGAATCCTTGGTGGGAAATCCTGGGTGAGGAACCATCATTGGGGAATCCTTCGTAAGGATTGCTTAATGAGAACCCTTGGTAAATAATGTTTAGTAACGGATGCTTGGTAAGGGCTCCTTGGCAAAGGAATCTTTAGTGGGGAATCTTTGATGAGGACATGCAGAGGGAGGTGACCTAAGTGAGGAGTCCGTAGTATGGATCCTTACAAAGGAATCCTACATACGGAATCCCTCGTGAGGAGCCCTTGGTAGGCATTCTGAATCCTGAGTGAGGAATTCAGAACAAGGGGTCCTTGGTAAGGACTCCTTACCTTTGCTACGAATTCCTTCTTAAGAAATCGCAGATAAAGAGCCCCTAATAGTCTCCAGGAATCCTTTGAAACCTTCAGGGGTCCATACAAATCATCAGGAATCCATAGGAACCCCAGGGTTCCCAAGGAATCCATCGGAATCCACATGAACCCGTAGGAATTTCCAGAAACAAAAAACACGATCCGCCTAGGCCTTCATAGTGCCTGGTATGGGAGGAGGAGGAGGAGGAAAAGGAGAAGGAGGAGGAGGAGGAGGAGCAGGAGCAGGAGCAGGAGCAGGAGAAGGACGACGATTCAGTTTCGGGCATCGTTTGCTGTCTGGCCGCGTTGCGCTTGTGTCCGTGGGGGGGGATGAGGAACGAAACAGGTATCCACGAAAGCAGGCACAAACCCTGACAGCCAGGCGAGTGCCGCACTCGATTGAGCACGACAGTCGAAGGGAGGAGGAGGAGGCGGAGGAGGAACGCTTCCCCATCATCGCGCAGTCCTTGTCGCCCCTCTTCCCGCCCACTCCCCTCACAGAGGCACTTCGGGAGCCAACGTGAGCCAACGTTTGAAGACGTCGTGCGTCCGCCCTGGAAGAGAATCAGCGTTCCAGTTTCGGCTCGAGCTCACCTCGCTATGGTCCTCCCCCCTCGGCCCTTCCTCCAACCCTCGCCCCCCGCCCCCACACCTATCGTCTCCCTTCTCCTTCGCCCGTTCGCGAACATCTCCCCTCGCTCCTTCCCCCCCCCTGTCCCGTCTTCTCCCCATACCCACCCGCTCTCCTGCCCATCCCCTTCCCCCCCTGGACGGGCGGGGGGCGAGGAGGGGCAAGGGGGAGCGGAAGGGCCCGGCGGCGAGAGGCGAGGGGGGGGGGTCGGGCCCGCGGTCTCGGCGAGGGTCGCCCGCGGGGGGTTGCAAACGGGGGATGGGCGTACCTCTCGGAGAGGAAGAGGGGCAGGACGGAGGGGCAGCTGGGGGAGCGATCGGAGGGGAGGGGGGGAAGGGGAGAAGGAGGGGGGAGGGGGAAGGGGAGGGCGGAAGGGGGGAGGGGGAGAGGGGGAGTGGGAGGGGGAGGGACAAGCTAGGTGCGCTCGCGTCATATCTGACGTCCTACCCCTCCCTCCCATCCCTTACCATGGCGCTGATTTTCTCTATCCGCGGACGCGTGTCGTAGCGGACCTGTGGCTCCGCGCGCGCGTGCGTAGTGGGTGGTGGTGCACGTGCGTGCGTGCGTGCGTGTGTGCGTGGTTGGTGGTGGTGGTGGTGGTGGTGGTGGTGGTGGTGTGGTGGTGGTGGTGGTGGTGGTGGTGGTGGTGGTGGTGGTGGTGTGTGGTGGTGGTGGTGCTGGTGGTGGTGGTGGTGCTGGTGGTGGTGGTGTTGGTACTGGTGCTGGTGCTGGTGGTGGTTGTGGTGGTGGTGGTGGTGGTGGTGGTGGTGGTGGTGGTGGTGGTGGTGCGGTGGCGGTGTGGCGCGGTGGTGGCGGGCGGATGGGCGCGCGAGAAAAAGGCCCGCGCTGGGGCGAGAACGCCATCCTGAACGACGGAGGCCAAACACCGATCCGAAAATGAGGCCCACGCTGCAGCGGGAGCACGATTCGGAACGATTCGGGAGCAGAAATGAGGCCGGCGCCTCAACGAGAGCAGCATTTTGGGAAAAAATGACGCCGGCGCCTCAGCGAGAGTCGTTTCCCGGGATTTCCCGGGCATCCTGTGTGTAAAAAAACAGTACGCGGAGGGTGCGCGGCCATCACCCGGACGCCATCAGGGGAAGAGGGAGAGTATTTTCATATTGAGTAATTGTAGAGGGAGCGGGGAGGGCAGGGGGAGGGGGGGCGGGACAGTGGCAGGGGGCATTGGCACGAGGATGAGGAACGTGGGGAGGAGGAGGAGGAGGAGGAGGAGGAGGAGGAGGAGGAGGAGGAGGAGGAGGAGGAGGAGGAGGAAGAGGAAGAGGAGGACGGACGAGAACGAGGAGGCGGGGGGGAGAGCCACCTCACGCTTCGTGGACCCGCCTTCTCGCTTCTGGGCCACGCCGCGCACGGCACTGCAAGACCAGCGGCTATGTGGTTATCTGTTCGCCTCTGCCGCCCCCTCGTCCTCGCCATCCTTCTCATGATCATCCTCCCCAGGAGACTGGCGGAGGATCACGACATCATGTTTTCTCCCAACAACTACCTCGAGCCCGATGCCGAGAGCGTCGAAGAACTGGCACCCGAGTATGAAGAAAGGCTGCCAGTGCGGTGCCGTAGCGGCACGTTGCGACGGATGCGATGTTCCAATCCCGCCTCCTCCTGTCCTTATCTTACCAGGTTGAAGCATATCCCCATCCCTGTGCTTGGCATCACATCACCTCGATGCCGGTATTAGGCATTCCCTCAGTTTTTGAAGGGCACATCCATAAGATTGTCCTCGTTGTTCGCCCATCGTAGGGACTGGGATACTTTCGAGGCTTGTCCTTATCCCTACCGCTCCCTTCCCCGCCTCCAAGTCGCGCTCCCCCTCCCCCAGAAGCTCCCGTTCCTAGCACTTCCCTTCCATACGTTTTGCTTGTGTTTCTGCCGCTGCTTGTGTTGCTGCCGCTGCGCCCCCTTCTTCTGGGGTAGTTCGCTCTGCCGCCCAGAGGAGTCCCCACTTCTGGTCCAGGCTTCGTGAGACTGCTAGATCAGATTCTCGGGTACGGCCCTTCATACATGCACGAAATACGTACGGTCAGGAGCACTTGCTCAGTGTGATGTGCCGCCGGCTTGGTCCACCACGCTTCGCCTTCACACTCTAAGCACCTCCCAGTTCCCAACCATCAACGTTCCGAGCTGTTTCCTAGCCTCCCGTCGCACGAAGCGGAGCGACACGCGCGGTCAGCTCGCAAGGCATCGCGTGTCGCGGGGACCGCCGCCGCGACACGCTGCAATGACCATAAGTAGCTGTACTGCCTGCGTATCCACCCGTGCACATGTGTGTGTGGTTGGCGGTATCATGGTCTGGGGATGGATGCTCTTGCTCCAACTCGACCTCTGCCTACTCATATGGGAGCTAGCTTGTTAGTCCTTGTTGATCACGTCGACATCTCTATATCGGCGACCCCGTGCAATAGAGCGTCCGATCTTCGTTCTTGCCATCCTCATCCTCCCTCTCCTCCATCGATTTGTTTCGACATGCCAGCCTTGATAACAGGGCCGTAGCGTCTGAGAGAGGGACAATAAGCACAGCAGTTGCGTGATCAAGGAACGGCAGGACGGCGAGACAGCGCTAGAGAAATCAGCGGCCCAAGAGGGCAGCGAGCAATGCAGCAGCTGAGCCAAGAGATGCGATCATTAGGGTATGCACGCATACCAGAAAGATAAGCGTTAGCATATTTAGATCGAATTGCGGAGCAGAGCGAGAGATAGAGAGAGAGTGAGAGAGGAAAGCGGGGAGGAGAAAGAGAGAGCAAGAGAAAGAGAGAGAGGAATACCGAAAAGGCGGGCCGGGCGTTTCGCCTGAGACTTCCTCACCATTCATGATCCTGGAGCTAAGAGTTGCCAACAGTTCTACATTGGAGGGCGGGCGGCTTTCAAAATGTGGCTCTCGCCTTGGCGCCGCGCACATTTGTTCCAAACAAGTGCAAGAATTTGGCGGATTGAGGGCGGGCCGTTTTCGAAATGTGGTTCTCGTCTTCGCGCCGCGCACACTCGTTTTAAACAGTAGCATGAGTTGCACTGATTGAGGGCGGTTCCTTTTCAGAAGGTGGCTCTCGCCTCAGCGCCGCGCACATTCGTTTCCAATAGGTTGCAGAGGTTCACGGATTCGCATGGCTAACGTACCAGAAATCGCGCTTGGGAGCGACTCAGGATTGTCAAGGCGCAACAGTTATGTACGCTGATTCGCGGTGTTGAGGTCCCACGAAAAGTGTTCTGGCACGGTTCAGGATCGTCAAGACGCAACAGTCAGGTTGGTTCGCGGCGTTGGAGTCCCGAGAATGGTGTTTTGGCACGCTTCAGGATCTTCAGACGGTTGTCTCCCAACGGGGCATTTCCTTCAGTGGAAATGAATCGTAATAGTGGCATCTGAAAAAAGGGAGCTTGGAGGGAGGGTTAATTCGAACATCGTTGATGAGTCTTGGGTTTGTACTGGTCCTCGACCCCTTCCTGGTCCTCAGCCAGTCGCGTATGTGGCGCTCTAACTGGCTGCCACACGGCCGAGGGCCGAAGGAGGCGCCGCACCGTCACGGGAGACTGGCCGAGCGGGAGGGAGAATAGGCGGAGGGACGGAGGAGGAGGAGGAGGAGGAAGTGGAGGACACTGACGCTTCGGGTGTGCGAAAGTGGAGGACAAAGAGGCAGATGATTTGGAGGAGCGAGAGAAGCAATGGCGACCCACGCCGCGTGCCTGGAGGCGTCGTGTCGTAAAGCGAGCGAAGCAGCCGGCGCTGAGATTTCTGATTCGTCAGAGCAGTTGTGAGCCTCCATGGTTCGGTTATGCTGTGTTTAGGCTCACGTGGCATTGACATGCGCTGCCGCACCAGTCAAGTGAAGTAAAGCATGGGATGAAAGGAGAACGAGGGAGGAGGAGGAGGAGGAGGAGGAGGAGGAGGAGGAGGAGGAGGAGGAGGAGAGGAGGAGGGAGGAGGAGGAGGTGATGCCCTCCCAGTCCTACCCCTCCTAGTCGCCGTCATCCTCACCATCCGCATCCTCCCTCCCCTCCTTACCCTCCTCCATTGCCTCCTCCTCCTCCCTCCAGCGCTTCAGCTCCTCCCCGTCTTTATCCCTCAGTATCGTCCTCGCTCATCAGCATCCGCATCAACATCACTATCAGCATCGTCGTCATCATCACCGTCCTCGTCGTCATCATCACCATCACCATAATCATCTCCATATCCGCACCGTCCCTCTCCTACAGCTGATTGTCCCTCATCGTCCCTCCTTACATTCCCCCTTATCATCATCATCGTCATCGTAATCCGCCTCACCACCATCCTCGCACTGTAGATCCTTCCCTTTCATCCTCCTCATCATGACCATACCCATAGCAATCCTCCTCCTGCTGATCCTCCCCCTGCTCCTCCTCCCTCCTCTGTCTCGGGATCGTTTCCTGGCTGAGAGCGGGCAGACCGAGAGGTAAATCACATACGCCTTAGCAGCAGAGAGATCGGCAATACAGAGGAACTTGCCGACTGCTTGAGTCAATGAGCAAGGGTGCAGTTTTTTACTTTTGAGCTTGACTCTGATGGCAGCAACGGCTCTCTATGCTATCCTTTTCCTGCTGGATAGTTGCTCAGAAGGGGTCGTGTGGGAGGAGTGGGAGTGAGAGCGGGGGGAGGAGTGAGGACGGACGACCTCGAAACACGAAGGCGCACACACAGCTACCTCTCTAGCGGTCCGACGGGATCGATGCACTGTTTTCGCTTTCGATGGCCCCGAGTTCCCTGGTGCCTCCCTCCGCACCCGTCAGCCCTGAGGTTGAGGCGATGGGCCCAAGCGCTCTAAGCCTCAGCCCACAGCGCGTTGAATGAAGTGTGGTGCGCCTTCGTGCTAACGCGGGCTTTGAAGGTCCGCGATGGGCTATAAAGTCCCGCAGGCGTGCTCGAGATGCGCATTGAGTTTACCAGCAGCGATCGTCAGGGCTACAGGTCTCACCCCGAAGAGGTGAGCCAGACAGCGAGAGACACCAGTTGCCCAGGTCTTGCTTGCTCCTCCTCCTCCTCCTCCACCTCCTCCTCCTCCTCTTCCTCCTCTTCCTCCTCCTCCTCCTCCCTCTCCTACCCCAGCGCCTCCCTCTCCCTGTCTCCACTCTCTGCTCCATACTCCTCATCAGCAGCAGCGCCGTGACCATCACCGCCGTCACCCACCCTCATCTTCCCTCCTGCTCTCTCTACTTCCTCCTCCTGCCCAGACGTCTCCCCGGTCCTCCCCCCTGGGCGCAGCGCAGCGCAGGGGCATGGCCGACATCACCCTGGGCGACACGGCCGGCCGCCTCCCCGCTTCTCGCTCGCGCCGCCGCACGCGGCTGCCTGCCGCTGCCACAGCGGGGCCCGTCGGGTGAGGCTCTCGGGCCCCCACCTCTTCTCGTGGCAAAACAAACGCACACACACACACACACACACACACGCACAACACACGCACACGCACACGCACACGCACACGCACACGCACACGCACACGCACACACACACAGACACACACACACACACACACACACACACACACACACGCACACGCACACGCACACGCACACGCACACACACACACATACACACACGCGCGCGCGCGACGGGAGGTGTTTGGCCCAGTTCAGCTTCGAGGTTTTTCGGGGAGGCTTCGAGGCTCGAGGTTTTCGGGAGTTTCCGTAGGTTCTCGCCGGCGCTTTCCAGGGTGCCCAGATCGTCCCGGGCGGCCACCAGAGGCTTGAGTTATGACCTGGAAACCATCGGCGCTTTCGCTGTGACAAATTTCACCATCGGCGCTTACGCTGTGACAGGTTTCAGACAATTTCACGACAATTCTCGCGTTCGGCCTCCAGGGACCCTCAGAGGGCCCCCAGACCGTAACAAAAACTGCTCGGGATGAAAAACCGATCCTGGGGAAGGGGTCTAGACCTCTGGAGTTCGACGACCGAAAGTCACGACGAGCGAGGCGCTGGTCGATGATCCTCAGGGCGTGCGTCAGCTCAGTATGTGTGTGCCGGGAATGCCAAGGAGTGAGGCGCTGGTCGCTGATCCTCAGGGCGTGCGTCACCTTCATATGTGTGTATGGATGTGTATGGGTATGGGTGTGTGTGTGCGTCTGTGTGCATGTGCGTGTGCGTGTGCGTGTGCGTGTGCGTGTGCGCGTGCGCGTGCGCGTGCGTGTGCGTGTGCGTGTGCGTGTGCGTGTGCGTGTGTGTGTGTGTGTGTGTGTGCGTGCGGGCGCTGGTCGGAATCTCGGCCCATTGCAATCACACAGGGGATGCCGCGGTCAGCGTCTCGGAGGACCGCGCTCCGGCTCCCGCCAGCTCTGGGGCCCCAGAGGGAGCCCTAGGCCCTCGTGCTCCCCGCCCTCGCCCCTGCGAGCAGCGCCGACCGTTCAGAACTTCGCCCCGCGCGCACGTGCTCGCCCTTTGCCTGCCGGCTTACGAGGGGAGCGCGCTCCTCCTCCTCCTCCTCCTCCTCCTCCTCCTCCTCCTCCTCGTCCGACAAGCGACGCTGTATGCATACAACTCGGCCGCCTGGGGCGTCTGGGGACAAGGAACCCAGATTGTTCCTGGATTGCCAGAGTGGCATTGATTTCCACGCTTTGCCATTTGACGCCCCAGTGCTCTCCCAAGCGTACATATTCGGGGGTTGCCCAATTTTGTAGGCCTTTTGCACACCAGTGCTCTGTCAGTAAAGTCAGGGCTCACCAGGACCTCAGCTCGTGCGAAGATGACTGGGCGCGTTATTGCTGCGAAGGTAACTGCGCCGTCGACGACGACGACGACGACGACGACGACGACGACGACTACTACTACTACTACTACTACTACGATTATTACTACTACTATTACTACT